GGGGCGTCAGACCCCTCGGGGTGCCACGTCAACCCATCGAGGTGCCACGTCAGGCCCCTCGGGGCCTTGCCTCACCTAAGCCCGAGGCCCTTGCCCAGCTGCCGCATGGCGAGGGAGGATCAGGCTGGGCGGTCATTAATGGCCGGTGCCCCAACCGCCCCTCAAAGCATTTAGTGCTGTCAGGGCGGACGTGTGGAGCCGTGCCACTGGCCAGCGTCAAATTCGACGTGACCAGCCTGTGACCGGCTTGTCACCGGTCACGTCCGATAGGCGTGCAACAGTCCTCCACGCCTTTTTTGTCCCCGGCGGAGTGGAGGTAGCTACGTATTGTCACATCAAGAACACCATCTGGACTCCTCTCCGTCAGAGGAGAGCGGCCACCGGTCTTTGCCCATTTAAGGGCGAATGACAGGCCTGCCTCCCCCTGTGTCAGGCGGGGGATGGCGCCGGGCCCCACCAAGGGGCCAATCGTGGCTTGGCTTCCGGGCGAAGGCATTCGCTCATTTAAGAGCGAATGACAGGGCTGTCCCCCGTGTCAGGGAGAGGACGACACTGGGCCCCACCGAAGGGCCGACCGCGGTTAGTCCTCCGGGTAAAAGCACGGATCGAGGATTAGCCACGGGGGAGGAGTTCCCTCCCGTCTCCATGAAGGGATAGATAGAGGGGGTGCATGTGGTAACCCCTGGAGATATAAAAAGAGGACCATGCCCACCGAAAAAGGGGGGGATGGACTGGAAAAAAGCTAGGGTTAGCTCTAACCTCAGGTTGATGATGCCCTTGGTGCAGTTCTAGAGTCCATCAAAGTAGAAAAGGAGAAGAACTCTTGTATTCCCCAGAGAGAGAGAGATTCCCACACACACAGGAGTAGGGTGTTACGCTCCATAGCGGCCTGAACCTGTATAATCCCTGTGTTTTTTGCAAGCTTTAGCGGCTTAATCCGCGGATAATCGACTGTCCGGAGCACGCCTCCTCCCCCCGGCCGAACTCACGAAAGGGGGGTCTCACGATCTCCTGCTAGAGAGGATTGATCCTCAACAAATTCAAATTACAATCTCATAATGATTATACAGGCATCTTATTAAAGTCGTGCAATGCACGACTATGTGGCAAGTACCTGTGATAACAGATTAGGATATAGAGTTAGGTTTGGATTGTAACCGAAATTTCTAAATACCTGCCACGTTGGAGACTGTTTCTAACTCATATCAATATATACGTGCAGCCTAGAACAGATATGATAACGCTTCCTAAACAATTATAGACATGACGTGAAGAAGATGAAGACGTTATCTCAAGAAGGCTTGAGCAGCTACTTCAGGCATGAGTATTGTCTGAACTTAATTACCTTGCGTGACCTCTAGACAACTGATCAAGACCTAATTCCAACTTCCTTGCATGACTCTAGACAACTGATCAAAACCTAATTCCAACTTCCTTGCGTGACCTCTAGACAACTGATCAAAACCTAATTTTAACTTCCTTCTGTCATGACAGCGACTCGTTCGGTCGTCAAGTGCATGTGCATCGCAAATGTGTGACAACTGACCAAAACCTAACTCTAACTTCCTCGTGTCATGACAGCGACTCGTTCGGTCGCCATCAAGTGCATGTGCATCACAGATGTGTAGGCATTAATATGTGGCAGTGGCTCGTTCAATCGTTATCATGCAAGTGCATCACACAAGGAGCTATTAGCCTCTCCAAACACTGGCGCCGGTGCAAATACGGCCATACGTCGCAATGCTTCAAGTGCAAAATCTTTGTCGTCCCGGCCGGTTCCTTTAACGTGATCATGCAACTGATAACCGGCAGAAAATTAATTAAGATGCAAACTAATGACACGGCCGGACTGACCCGAGTTTGCTAATTCGCGCATACGCGCCGTGGGCGCTTACTCCGGCCCACCCGGCCCACGTGTGCTACGCGCGCCGTCGCCCACCAACAGCTTTTTCCGTTTTTCGTGTTTTTTTCCTGCGCCGCTGCCTTTTCAGTTTTTTTGCCTTTTTTTCTGCGCCGTGGGAAGCCGAATCACCGTGAATATTTTTTCGTGATTTTCTAAATAATATGCGCACGATTTTATTTTTCGTGATTTTTTTCACATGTTTTGTTGTGAATTTTTTTAAACCACATGCACACGTTTCACTCAAAAGTTTTTAAAATTTTAATTAAAAGTTTTAACACTAATTTAAAAACTTTCAACTCAAATTGAAACTATTCAAATTAAAAAATTGAAAAAAATCAAATCAAAATTTAAAAACTTTCAACACAATTTTGAAAACTTTCATTTTAAAATTTGAAAACTTTGACCTCAAATTTAAAAACTTTCAACTCAAAATTTCAACTCAAATTTGAAAACTTTCATCTCAAATTTTGAAAAATTTCATCTCAAATCTGAAAACTTTCAATCCAAATTTGAAAACTTTCATTTCAAAATTCAAAAACTTTCAATTGAAAAATAAAAAACTTTCAACTCAAATTTAAAATTTTCAACTATTCTTTTAAAACTTTTAACTAAATATTTATGTTTTTTAAATATTTAATGCTAATTACCATAATTAGCCCTAATTTACTATAGTTAGTATTGATTACATAATTAGCATAGAAGGAAGCGCCGGCGAGCACGCGCCGAGTAGGAACACCTGATGAACAACTAATGGCGGCGGCGCAATAGTCCAATCTATATTACTTGATATTATATCTACCACTTCAATTGCAACTATTTTTTTTGCTTAATCACCTATTTGCAATATTTAGATTGCATCTTATCTTGTTCTTGCAGTGTTTTCTCGTTTGCATCAACCGCACGTCACGGTTGGTACGACATCGTTTGTTGTCACAACTCCTTCGCTGCAGCCACCGTAACAGCCACAACTCCTCCCCCCATCTCCTCCCCTCTTTTCCCACATGGCGAACAAAGAAACTCTGGCGTGAAGGATGGCCGGCGGCGAGTTAGATGACCGGTGTCATGCTGGATTTGTTCCCCATGGGTCAAGATCCGGTGGCTAACGCCCCAAATTTAGCTCGCCCGGGACGGTGCGCGGATGAGGTGGCCGACTCGGCTCCTTCCCCTCCATCATAGAAGTCATGCTCTGCGGGGCACGCTTGAGCTGACTCGTCGCCGGTGGCAGTGTGCAGTGTCATCCATGTGCTAGCTCGTTGAGCTGCAGTGCCTCCACGAAGGATGTCGCACGCCCTCAGGGATGAATCGGGCCCCCCTCCCCAGATCTACGACTACCGCGTGCGGCGGCGCTATGTCCCCCTAATGGGCGTGACGATGGCCGACTCCGGGCCTCCATGGAAGGCTCCGTGCGAGCGTTGGCGGAGGCCCCCCCTTCCCCGGTCCGGTGCACAGCGAACGGCAGTAGGCCGCCATGTGGACAGACCTCGTCGGCCACGCGATCTGCCAGTGCGGATGTGAGGGCGTGGGAGCAACCGCTCCTGGCTTCAGTCTACGGCCCTTCGGCTGTGGCTTGCTCGACTTGGCAGGCCCGGACCGTGGGTAGCCGGCTGCCAAGGCTTGTGCAGATGGCCAGAGCTTCGGACAGGGCATGGCTAGCCGACCGCAGCTGACCAGAGCTGCAACTCATGGATTTGGGGAGCTCGTGACCTACAAACAGTTCATGGGTTTGAGGAGTGTGGGCGAAAGCCGTGCACAACCTGGTTGTGCGATCGACAGCAATGCCATCTGGTGTCGTTCACCTCCTTGGAGGCGCCGATGTAGCCTCCCTTACCTTAACTGTAGACACGTCCCTCCCCGAGCCCGCTGTCCGGTGTGGCGTCCGTGGACGTCATTTTCCTTGTTGAAGGCATCGATGCAAGCGTGTCTACTTCTAATGTGTCCTTATGCTCTCCATACCTTCTCTCCCTCTGACATCAACCCTTCCTTTAGCGCAGAAGCTTCAGCCGAGAGAGAGATTTCTTATCATGTTTTGTGCACCGATCGAGCCAGCTGAGAGGAGAGTATAGTTGGCATATGGCCCGTGCCCGTTGGGCTGATCGTGCCTTCTAGCCCGCCCGGCATGACCGGAAAGCTAGTGGGTCGTGCATAAGCCTGACGTGCATCCTGCAAGCACGGCACAAGAAAGCTAATTCGCACGCGCGCGCTGGCGGCGCGCACGCGAGTGGTAGGTTTTTTTTCCAGGGAACACGCGTGGAGCGGTTACCTTTTTTTTTGGGATTTTTTTTGCACGGTTTCCTTTTTCTTTTCGGGATTTTTTTCCGGAGAAGCGTACATATAAAGTAACTAATCCGATTAGTTTTAGATAATGACCTAATTAAGGTAAGATTTTGTAGATTTGTCTTTTTTTTCAAAGATTTTTTTAAGTAACAGATTGAAAAGAAATCTATACGTGAAATCAAAATTTTAAAACTTTCAACCCAGATTTAAAAACTTTCAACTTGAAGTTTGAATTTTATTGGAGTCAAATTTTGAAAACTTTCAACTTTTCATCTCAAATTTGAAAAACTTTGAACCCAGATTTAAAAGCTTTCAATCCAGATTTGAAAACGTTCAACACAGATTTGAAAACTTTTAACCCGAATTTGAAACTTTCAACCCAGATTTGAAAACTTTTAACCCAGATTTAAAAACTTTCAAACCAAAATTAAAAACTTTCAATTTTACATTTATAAAGAGGTGTGCGAAAAGATTAAAAAAAGATCGGAAAGAAACGGTGAAAAAAAAAACGCGCTCGCAAAATTTGGAAAAAAAAAATACAAACAAAAAAAGAGGGGAAAAGTGCGAAAAAAAGGTCGTGAGGAGATCGAGGGTCCACCTGGCAAGCGCGCCACTTAATTTGCTCGTGCGCACACGCGAGCTAGCCCCCCCCCCACCCACGGCACGAAGTGCCGACTGGACCGTGCCGGCCCGATCGCACTTGGGCTGTACTTGGGCCGGGCCTGGCTGGGCGGCCCATATGGCCATCTATAGAGGAGAGGAGTCGGAATGGACTGGGTGATGATGGACCAGCTTTTGCTTCCTCCTCTATTTAAGGGTCCCTTGGTCCTAGCTAGGAGACATTCAGACATGGCGCACCAGAGGCAGAGAGACACGAGCAGCGAGGAGGAGCTCCCACGTGAGCCGTGGACGGTGGAGAAGGACGTCCACCTCCTCAACAACTTAGCCGCGCATGGCGGCGAGTTCCAACGCGAGCCGTGGGTGGAGAAGGACGACGCCGCGTCGTGGACGGTGGAGAAAGACGACGTCCCGCTCGTCAACAACATCGTCGCGCACGGCGATCCCGAGGGCAGTTCGAACTCGCTCGCCCGATCAGGAGGTATGCACTTCTCTCTCTATCTCGTTTCCACGTGCATGCATATGCATTGGAAAAAAAATTGTTGAATACCCAAATTTTTATCGAACGTATATGCATATGTACTAATGCCGGCTGTATGTATACCTAAGGATTGTATTTGGAGTATGCATATATACCTATTGAGTATGAAGACGTACATATATAATTTTTTATCGCCGGCTGTATGAGCACATATTAGTGAAACTGCGAGTATACATGCATAGGTTCATAGTACTATGGGTGTATGTACTAAGGTATGTTCTGTTAGCAAATTAAATAAATAAATAAAAGGATCTAATAAGTATGTGTATATCAATAAAATATAAACTTATATACACTTTTTGAAAGCAAGTATGTATATATATATATATATATATCCTATAAAGCACCCTAAGACGCTACGTATTAAACGAAGCGTGATACAGCCCCAAGCCCCACCCACACACGCTCCCCACCCTGCCCCCCACCAGATCCATAGTATGCAGTTAAAATTTAACTCGCCGATGACCAATCTTGATCCCACCCCTGCGCCCCCTCCCATCTCCCATAGTCCAAGTAAATTTTGTACTTGATGTTATCCAACTTCTTAGTAGTTATATATATAGTTAAAATTTAACTCACTGACGACCCATCTTGATCCCACCCCTACGCCCCTCCCCCACTCCTATAGTTCGAGTAAATTTTTTACTTGATGTTACCCAACTTTTTACCATATATATATATATATATATATGTGTGTGTGTTGTTCTCCCACCGCGTAACCAACCACATATCCCGATCCTATTTTTTCGGATACGAGAGAGAGGCGGAACGGCTACGGGCGCGGTGGCTATGGGCGACCGCGGGCGCGGCATCGGTGGTGCCTAGGCTCCATGGTGCTTGGGCTCTAAGATTTAAATTGAGTATATACCCAATTTGAATCAGTATGATTTTTTTAAAAATGTTTAAGTATGAACATTAACTCCTTTACTAACAAGTTCAAACAAGTTTGAACATTTTTTTTTGTTACATTTTGGTTCTAGGTATATAACATCCAAACATATAATTAGTTAGGTATGTAATAATGAATTGTGAAATAAAGTTCAGTTTGAGTTGTTTTGTTGCTAGGTATAGGTATGAATCAAATTTTTATACTTAGATATATACTCACAATTTGAAATTTTTCAAAATTTGAGAGAATTTGTGTGTTTCATACCTTGGAGCCGGGGCGCCATGGAGTCCCATATGGGTATCTATATATTATGTATATGTATATGTATATATATACACACACGTATACATACTTTTGTGATAAGAGTCTGCGTACATTCTTTCTAAGATGGGAGTACATGTACATACTTTAGAAGGGAGTATGTGTGTATATATATTATTTGCAGAAAAATAGGTATATATATATTTTTAGAAGAATTTTCATGTACATATATAGTTTTTAGAATGGAGCATCTGTGTATTTATTACTGTACTGAGTCTAAGCGCGTGTGTGTGTATATATATATATATAGTAAATTTGTTTGGTGCTCCATGGTGCCCGGGCACCATGGTTGAAATTGAGTATATACCCAATTCAAATGAGTCTATGAGTATATTATAAACATGTGTAGTAAGAGTATGCATGCATATATATGAGTTAATGGCGAATCTTCAATAGTGTATTATTATACAAAACATGAGTAAATTTAAAAAGGAGTGGTATTTCATGAATTTTTCTTGTATGCCTGTCTGATGGCTGGTAATTAATTAACCCCGGCTTGGTATTGCTTGCTCAAATATTTACAGGACATTTGGCCAATGTCCACGAGGGAGCCGGCATGTTTTATCAGCCCAACTTCAAGTACATTTTCTGTGATATGGATGGTATGTTTTCTTATTCAACTTATCTTTCCACTGAGATGTGTTAGGATCTTATTCAGTTTCTCTTTGCACAAGGCACACTGCTGGATAGTAGCGGTCTAGTTCCAGAAACCAACGCTGAGGCCATTAGGGTGGCCAGGTCAAGAGGGGTACAAACAATCATTGCGACAGGAAAGGTAATGCTAACTTTGTTCTACTCAGGTAATCTTGTAATTAAAGAGAAGTTTATTTCCTGTCTCAATGTTAACTAATTTCCATGTTAATTTTGAAAACAGTCCCGCCCTGCTGTTATTGAAGTTCTTGGCAAGGTTAATTTAGCTGGCACAGGTGGTATCGTTTCAGAATCGTCTCCAGGAGTATTTCTTCAGGTTAGCTGGGTGCAATAGCTTGGCCCTTTTCTATGCTAGCAGGGTTTGTAAGTTCTTTTTTATTCCTCTATATGCTTGCAGGGTTTGTTAGTTTACGGCGAGGGGGGCCAAAAGTTATATCAACAGAATTTAGATATAGAAGTGTGCAGAGAGGTAAGCTGCACCAACACTATTGATTATTAACATGTTTTTAAACTCTTGTCTGCCATTGTAATTAAGGTTGGTGCTCTCGGCATTTCAGGCGCTTCTATACTCTCTGAAGCACAGAGTTGCCCTGGTGGCCTTCAGCCAGGACGACTGCTACACAACGCTTGATGATCATCCTCTGGTGGACTTTTTCCATGTTATGTACCACGAACCAAAGGTGCGGCGGCACATCTCTTATTACTAGTAAAACATGTTCGTGCATTACAATGAAATCCAATACATATAAAAATAAGACTTGATATCTTCAGTAGAGGACAAAGGAAACTCTGTACCGTACGAATAGTTAAAGCCTTGAAGGAAGGTGGACAAAAAATAGATGGAAAAAAGTTGTCTTGTTAATATAAATCAGGGCTTAAGCCTTAAATGTAGAAAAATTTGTTACGATCTTTTGCGCACGAAGCAGCGGTAGCCTTTGCGCTGAGCAAAGCTCCTTGTGGTGGCGTGAGTCCCTTGCAGCAGCTCCAGCCTCGAGACTACGAGCACGACGGCGCAGATACCTTGTGTGGGGATCCTGACCACCAGGGTCGAGAGGCTAGAGCGCAGGGACAGCAGATCCCGACGCATCAGGTTGTGGAGCATGGCGTGCAGGCCCAAGGTGACGTGCCTCAAGCTCTGTGGCTTGGCCCCGCCGATCCGATAGTAAGGCGGCAGCGCTGCACACAGTCCGAGTAAGTCTTACTTGTGGCAGGCATGCGGGAGAAAACAGTGCCAATATACCCTGCATAAAGCCCCTTCAAGCCATGATCTCTCCAGATAGAACAGCCAGCAATGTACTACCCATATATATGAGTTCCATGAGTTTGAGAAATACTTCCTTTAGCTACAGCTGATGCCCAAGATTTTTGGGTACCTTGGACTTGCATTCTTTGTTTCATGACTTCACAAGAATGAAATCACCTGAAATCAAGAATGAAACATATATGTAGTATCCATGAAGCAAAATAGGAAATTATCTTGAGACATCATGCATTCCAACAGAACCTACACCAGGGGTGCTAGAAAAGTTTGTTGGTGCAGATATAAAGTCCCCATTCAGAAAAAACCAAGTACAAATCTAACTACATTAAGCAATGTCATGAAAATTTTCAACAAGTAAAATACAGAAAAAAAAAGGGAAAATAGAGTGCTTACCAATCGCTCCAGCAATAAAATGTGACCAGTGTCCACTTAGTTTAGGATTAACAATCTCCAACCATGTCTTAGTTGATTCAATAACACTGATATATGTAGTGCCAGTCGCAAGAGATCCGGTAACACCTGGGCTGATTCCTCTGTAAAAACCTGAAAACAGGTCAACCGCAATATTTATCAAGATCACTATTGATGCTTATTAGTGCGGAACAGTGTATTTTTTTTGGCAGTTTTGGAGCTTATATGCTTTGACATTTAAACTTTTTAGCTGTTTTTTTTAATTTAAAAAGACAGCATGAGCTTGCTACTTTCCCTTTTTTAATTTTCATTCACTAAAACCTTTTAGACCATCCGAAGCCCAAACTGTCAAAATATATAGACAATTTTGTCCTCAACGTTTGAAAATGAAATAGATGACCAATCTCCAAATAGATATCTTCAGTGTACTTGTTTAAGAGAAAATTTTACTGAATAACCACCCAATGGAAAACAAACATAATAAATATGCACAAGTAATCTCTTTTGCATCAGGAAAACCCCAGGTCTAGTTCAACATTTAAACTCACGAGGCCAAAGTACTAAGCTCCAGTTGCTTTAACCTCTCACCATGAGACCACTCAATTTCCCACTGTACCTTGCCATCAACCAAATTTGCAAAGTTGAGTATTGGCTGGATCTTAGCACCAATCCAACGGTTGGAATAGAAAATCATAAGCGGGGAGAATTGGAAGATAAAATCTTAAGCGGGGAAAGTAAGAGATTTGGTGCATGCTTTGAACATGCAAGTGAAAGTTACATAGTACTAATTTTAGCGAATAAAATGCTTTGAACACGGCTCCCTTCATGCATTGAATCAGCAAAAATATGGATGAACTAATCTGAAGATCCTTTCACAACAATCCATAAAGCAATACTTCTCATCAAGACATCAGTACATAAGAACAATTAGTGAGGAAGCTAAGACCAAAAAAACAAAAAATATGACTAATTAGAAGCCTCAGTTTATACTATCTTGTTAAAAAAACCAGACATTAAAGGTCTACACATAAACAGATTATAATCTGAGCAAGAAGCTCTATGTCCTACCATAACAAGCACAGTGCATCTGGCAGCTCTATGTCAGAAGGGCCAAAAGGCCGTCATCTTCCACGTGAGGGAGAGGGCCAAATGCAGCCAGACGAAAATAAAAAAAAAGTTATAATTTTGCCTATATGCTCACTTTTATCTATGCTTCTTTATCTTTTTTCAGGCAAAGATAATATCAGATGTTGACCATTTTCTGAGTACCATTGACATACAGGTTTGAATCATTATCAGTTCTGAATAAATCATATTGGATTCCTTTTTATTCCTTAGAAGTTCAAGCATTTCATTTCTTCTATTATCATATTGTTTCATTTGTTATAATGGAAAAATGCAGAAGTTTGTGTTCCTAGAAACTCCTGAAGTGATCTCTTCTGTGCTGAGGCCACACTGGGCGAGGAGGGTTGATGGAAAGGCACAGGTCGTTCAGGCACAGGGTGATGTGCTTGAAGTTGTACCGCTCGGGACTTCCAAAGGAAATGGGGTAAAAATTCTGTTGGAATCACTTTGTGCTAGTCCAGATGAGGTAACTAATCCTGTCTTCTTACTTTTACCATCACAGTGATTAATTCGCTATACATGTCAGTAAAGGTACTTATATTTTCTTCCTGTTTCATTTAACCAGGTCATGGCACTAGGCGATGGAAAAAACGATAAAGAGATGCTCCAACTTGCCGGCCTTGGTGTCGCCCTCTGCAACGGCTGTGAGGTGACAAAGGTGGTAGCCGACGTCATCGGCGCGAGCAACGACGAAAGCGGCGTGGCACAGGCCATTTACAAATACCTCTAGAAAATGATTCCACCTAGCTGGCTTAGCATTTCTACTGTGGTGTGGTAGGGCCTAATATATCTTGCTTGCAGCATCCATTTGCAAGCGTACCATATTTAAACTTCAATAATTGTACGTGGAAGTTGGAAGTACTATTCGCTGGTGGATTAATATCATATTTGCTGCTTACAGCTAAGATATCACATTTTATATTATAACTAGTAACCATGTACGTGCAATGCACGTAACAGCAAAAATAAATTAAATCAAACATATTGCTATGCAAATTACTTAAACACTACAGTATATTCATACAAAGCAACACAAATAGGCAAACTATATGCTTCGTTTAATTTTATAAAACCACATCCAATAATATAATCTTGAAATAATCCAACAATAGATTTTGATTATAAATTCAAGTATAGTACGGATTCTTGAAGAATAACTTTATTAATTGACCAAAAAAAAAAGTAAAGTGCATACTCTGAAACTAAATTTTCATTTGTAGTCCATGCATGCGTATTAATTTGTTTTTCCATAATCTCTAATGAGTGCTCTTGGCAGAAAATTGCAATGAATAACAATGCTAAAAATAAATTAAAGGGTCCAACAACCATGTATAGTATGACAAACTATTTTCACAACAAAATCTGACAATAACTGTTTGTTCGGTACTATCCAAGTATCCAAGATCAACTTCTCATCGAACTTGTGCCTCGCATTGTCCTGCTTCAACCTCACAATCCCATATCAAAATGGCTGCACACTGGATGTGCATGGCCCCTTTCAAAGTGAACACACTATTCTTCAATTCCAGCACAGCTAGGAACTGCCCATCAATTCACCCAGGGACCAGGGCACTACCAATTGAATGATCTGCTTTCAAGTACAGGTTTCAGCCCCCATTCAGAGATCCTCAAAGATGATTGTGTCAAAAGTATCAATGAACCTAAAAATGTGAGTAAACTCAATGTATTACCTGAGATTACTAAAACCTGAGATTATAACCTCACATTGACAGTTGATGAGTTTGATCTGTAAGGTGCTATAACTTTACATTATATCATACTCAATAATGAATTCTAAATCATATGTATAGTTAGATTGTAGGGGAAAATCATTTAATTTGACAATAAAATACAATATGATTCTATAATTTTATTTTGAAATTTCTGGCTGGGTATATAATTCATAGATCTGGCTGATTCAAAGTATGGTTCTCTGTCGTTTGTACAGAATATACAAGTCAAATTTGTTATCTACCAGTTTTTTTCTTAACTGTGAACTTATCTATATTAAGATTATAACTACAACTTTCTTGTGAGGATGTATATTGTACCTGCTTGGAACCAACCTATGCAACCTTGCTTCTGTTCATCATTGGAGAAGTAAAAATCTTGCCCGGTAGTCGGTATAAAACTATATTTAGAATAATTAGATTGCTCTATAGTGTAAAAAGAAAACAATGGTTTCAGACTATCAGTCTCTTGTCAATCTGCGAACATATAATTACCTAAACTATAGGTGTTATCGGAATGGAAGCAAAAATATATCAAAATATCAAACATTGTTGTGACGACGACGACACAAAGCCGCGAGCCTCGCATGGCTGGAGTGGCGTGCCTCTTCGGCGCGGCGACGACAACGGCGACACAAACCTCCCATCCTTGCGGCTTGCGTGTGACTGTCTCATTCTCCTGTCTCTACTTTGGATTGGATGGACTCAATGCTTATCTTCTGATCTAGATCAAATTTCTTTAATTTTGTTGTTTGAATTCAAAATTTGTTTGAAAATTTCATTCGAAATTTCCGAAAGAATTCCGAAATTTCGGAATTTCGCTGACCCCCGAAAATTTTCCCCTTCCCTAGTAGTGCACCGCCTTCTCCCTGTACTTCTCCAGCACGCTGCGGTGCCGCGCCGCCTGCGGATCGCCGTCCAGCAGCATCTGCGACACGATGACAAATTAAGACATTTTCGGTAATATGAAAAGGGGTAGCGCACGAGATCTAAAGTGGATGGATGCGGAGACAAGGATTTAGACAGGTTCAGACCCTCTCGATGAGAGGTAATACCCTATTCCTGTTTGAGGATTTGAATCCGCCGGGTGTAGTATTGATCTGACGATCATATGTGCTCATGCCCCCTAGAGAGCCTTCTGCCCACCTTATATAGGATAGGGACAGGATTACAATATAGAAACCTTAACCAATACGGTATCGATTTCCTAAATCTACTTTACAATATTATCAAATCAGGACTTTAGGCCATTCCATAATATACAAGGAAACGTAATACCCAAGTCATGATCCGTTACATATTCCATAGATATGAGTTATCCTCTATAACTAGTCGGATAACTATGCCATGAGGGTATGGGGTACCCATAATCTCCACAGTTGCCCCTGAGACCTTCACAGTCGAAAAAATAATCTTCTCTCAAACTAGATTACTTCAAAGCTGAGTGTTTCACTCATCTTCCCATGGTCTCCCGAGTACTTTTACCAACTTTGAAGACTGTGGAGGGATGACGAATAATTAAATATAAACTTAGGTGCCTCGACTAGATGCACCTAATAAGTGTAGCCCCCGACTATGTGGTTAGTTGAACAAACTGAACATATAGTCAAGGAGTAAATAATCCAACCAACTAAGTGATTTTGATAATTGTAGTCAACCAAGTGACTTAATATATAGCATATGCGGTGTGAATCCCCGAATAACATAATCCAAGTAATATACCGACTGCTTTGCAAAATATGATGTGTGCAACCTAGAATTGACAACATCTTTGAAAATTCACATAGAAAAACAACTATAAAGAAGCTTGTATGCTGTGAATAAAGAAATTTCCAAAGTATTTGGCATACGCCATGCACACACTGCTTTAACAGATGTGCTTAAGTCCCTAAAAGACACATGGTTTCACCACTCCTGAAAATATACGGCATATGTGGTATAAAATCCGAGTAAATAACTCATAAAGGATTTACCAACCGCCTGGAAAACGACTAAAATATATAATCAGCCTAAGCCATAATATTGGTCAATAAAAATGCACACTTACGTGGCAAAAAAGCAACGATATTGTATCCAATCAATTGCTTTATAAACCGAAACAGCGCCCTGACTTATATAAAAAAGTTGGCAAGGCAGCTATATAAAGCTTTACTGTTTGGCACCTTTTAAAATGAATTGTACCAACTCCTAAAAAGTTGAGTAACAGTGGTATAAAAGGATTTTAAGGTATTGGGCACTTGATCACACGCACTTTTGCCTAAGCAAAAAAATGCCTAAGTCCCTAAAAGAACGTGACAGGCCAAACCTGAAAATATGGGCAACAGACATATTAGGCCTAGGCCAAAAAATATGCCTTCGATACCCTTTAAAAAATGACGCATGTAACATGCTCCCGAGTAATAAATCTTCCGGGTAATGTAGACCAAGTGCATCTCATCCGAGTGGCTTATGGTCCAAATAGTTATCCCTCGTGACGTATAATGAAGTAAATATGATAATTGAATTCCGACTAGCGCAAATACTCAGCCAATGGCCCTCATGGGAAACAATGATTAATCCAGACCTTGGATGTAGGAAATAAACTTACGACTATAAATATGTGTCGCATATATCCCAGATAAGTCCAAATTGAGGGTATGATCCTTATGCTTAAGTTGATAAGCCCCTGAACATATAGCTTGTCATTTTGTCGTAGTCGAAATTATCCATTGGCAATAGCTTATGCAATCGGCATAGAAGCAAAATGACCAATCATGAAGATGATATCGCCCATCAGAGATGACGAAGATGTCGGTAATGGTAAAGACAATGACACCAATCAAAGGTGATGAAGTCGTGTATCCGTGGAGGCGAAAAAAACCAGTCGGTAGCAGACGAATCCGCCAACAGTAGAGACGAAGGCCCCTAGCAACGGCGACAGAGTTATGCAGCCATGACAGCGAAATAATCAGTCGGCGACAGATGAGACGGCCGGTGAAGAATATGAAGAAGCTCATTAGCAGCAACACAATTAGCCAATCGTGAAGATGATAACATCAGTCGATGGCGACGAAGGCAAGCCAATGATAAAAAAGTAAACGCCCATCAACGATAATAGTTAAATCCACCAATCATTGAAATGAAGAAAACAATCCGCGACGGCTGTCGCAACC